TCACATGGTATGGAATGTCCCTTTGGCCAGTTTGGCTGTGCCCCCTCCCAGCTTCTTGTGCACCTGCAGCCTTCTCAGTTGGTAGAGCATGGGAAATTAAAAAGTCCTTGACTAGTGTAAGCATTACCTAGCAACAACTAAAACATCGGTGCATTATCAACTTTGTTCTCATCCTAAATCCAAAACACAGCACTGGACCAGCTACTAGGAAGGAAATTAACTCTATCCCTGCTGAAACCAGGACACTTGCTTTGTCTATTATTATTATTATTATCATTATTATTATTATTAGGATTTTATTCTATTTCAATTATTAAACTGTTTTTATCTCAACCCACGAGTTTGCTCACTTTTACTCTTCTGATTCTCTCCCCCATCCCACCGGGGGCAGGGGGGGAGTGAGCGAGCGGCTGTGTGGTGCTCAGTTGCCAGCTGAGGTTAAACCACAACAAGAGGAAAAATAATGTATTGTGCAAGGAAAGGAGGGCAGTGCTGGGTGGGCTGTTCTGGAGGACTTTGGGGGAAAGGGAAGATAATCCCTGTCTCTGCCCAACCCTTCCCGTTCTCTGCGGACTTTTAGCAGCATCGCAGCTACGGAGGGAGGCAGTCTCGGTGTGTTCCCCAGAACTATGTTTAGGGTTTAATTCTGATTACAGTTGCATGAATTTTGAGTAGTTATTTCATTTTTTTAAATTCACTTTTTGTTTGGTTCCATGGTACATACTGGAGCAAGTGACTTCAGGATCATCCCCTTACAATAACATAACTGAACTAAGCAAGCCTCACGGTATGTGGAGACCAGGCTCTTCCCTTTCTGTGTGTTTTCTTTTCAATTGTTATAAATCACGGTAATAACTTGTCAACTCTATAGTAAGGCAAACAATGAAATTGCCTATCTGAGGCGCATTGTTTTGTCAAACTCTTGTCCAGCATGCCTCATGTCTAGTCAGAGTAAATTTGATAGTTTGGAATAGAGGAGGGAGGGAAGGTGGAGAGAGGAGGGATGGGAAATCAGTCTTTGGTCTGGACCTCTCCTCTTCCCGTGTCTGAACAGCAGGGAATAATGTGGAAGAACAGATACTAATGAAGCTGAAAAGATGGTTTCTAGATGGTTTTATTTTGATTATCTGTAAGGATTTAATGAAGAAAAAAATCATAAAAGCAGTTCACCATTTTTCTAAAAGGAAGCCAGCTCCTTTTTGCCTCGCACTAAGACAAAGCAATGCTCTGAAGCCTGTTGCACGTCTTAAACGCTAATTAAATGACAGGCTGTGGCTGCAGCACGACGCATCCACTCATTGGCCAACACGACCTTTTCAGATGATCCGTTTTGCTGCCTGACCGTCTGTGAGGAGTTCTGGGTCCACGGTCTGTTGGCAGCTGCTCTAGCCGAGGCACCGGACTGCAGAGCTGTTGGGAGAGAGACAGAGAGAAACACGGTGCAAGAGCCAGGCAATTAAAGAGCAATAAGGAGGAAGACCGTAGGCATTAAATAGAAGTTAGACAGTTTTGATTAGGTTTGTGCTTGGTTTTTTGTTGCTTTTTGAATATGAAGTTCTCCTTGCTAATTTGGGAAAATGAGATAAATGTGTTGATTTTAAAAATGTCTGAGGTCTGCATTTGGCTCTGAGAGGTTGTTATTTCAGGAAGGGCTTTCCAGGACTTACAAAGAAGAGTTTTGAAGATCAGGATTAATGACAAATATGATCAAAGCTAAGGAAAAGTACACTGAGTTGCAAAAGATGAAAACATGTCATTTCTCGACAGCAGTTCTGCATTCGTTTGCTTTATGAGTGACGTTTACTTTAAAAGTGGGGTTGTAAAATATTGATAGATACTTTCTTATTGGGAATCTTTTATTGAGTTTTGTAACTTCCAGTTTGGAGTGACAGCCACTAATCAGTTTAATTTTTCCATGGTAAGTTTCCTGTCACATCCCATTAATCCAGAAAATTTACGACATGCATTCTTTATTGCAGGAGCTTCGCAGTAAATTTTCTGGTAGGGATTTCATTTAAATTAGGGAGAGAATGGTCCAGGGGATAGGGTACTACTTGCTGTTCAGGGATTTTTTTGATTCAGTTACTTGCTGTTTTGTAGTCTGCCTGAACAAGATTGCCAAGACTTCATTACAGGAGCTCGTCAGAATTGCTGCCTGGAATCTCATTACATATTTTTGCCTTGGTCCTTCAGGTCTCAAATGCCATAGAACAAATAAAGTTTTTATTAGTAGCTGTCAACAGTTGATTCTTTTTGGGGAGGGGATAAAATGTTTTATAATTAAAGGGACAGAATGACTACATACACTGACAGAAGCAAAGTTAACCATGGTAAAAAGTCCTTGCATGGACTTATGCACACCAAAACAGTTGTTTCCCTATTTCCATAGCATCCCCAAAGGCAGCTGTAAAATCCAAAGGATACAGTCTAAAGCATATAATGCATTAACCACAGATTTATTTCTTTTTCAAATAATACTACCCCTCTCACCACATCAATTTTTCACATTCAAGCAAAGATGACTTGAGGACATTATAATAAAGTGAAAGCTTTTGAAATCTTGTTATTTCCCTTTCTTCTTCTCCTACCTGTGAGACATAGCACTTGGACTTGAGAGCACTGCTTAGAGATCAGCTTTTTGACTTCCGTTACGCTCATTAGTTTGGAAAGAGCCTTTCAGTGCTTTGGGTCTGATGCATGCCTGGACTCCGATGTTCTCCCATTAAAGCAGTCAGACACTCAGCTGAATAACGTGGTTTTCAAAGCTGTGTATAAGCATGTATGAAACTACCTCCTGATAAGCTCTTTGCAGACACTGAGCAAGTACAGCAGACGCCAGGAAACAGCCTGCGGCTTTGAGGGTATCTAATTATGGTTGAATCCCACTGTAGGTACAATTCACGGTGTCCAAATGGATCATGTCATTTAGGAGAGCAATACAATCGTTAGATACAGAAGAACAGTCCACTGTGTCCAAATTCTGAGGGTGCAGCTAAGTGCAGGTGCAAAGTTGGAGCATGAGGCCCTTAAAAATATATGGCTCTTGTATACGGGAGAGAACTGATGTAGAATAGTGTCATTCTGTTGAAGTCTGCAGAAGCAGATTTTTCTCTGTTTATGGAACTAGGGTGTTACTTTACTCAGATGTTATTTCAGTCATCCTTTTTACTAGGCCTTCATGCCCTAAAAATGGTAGAGTTCATGCTACCGTGCCTCTCTTCCCAAACCCCACCATCCACAGAATCCCAACTTCTAGCTAATCAAAAAAGCGAAAGCAAAATGCTACTAATTTGACTAGTGCACAATAGTCAAATTAGCTTTGGGAAGTCCCAAGCTCTGGGAAGCAAGGGGAGCTCTCCTTATTTTCCCCTTTCCCACCAAAACTGTACTTTCAGTTAGCCTGGAAAACAGTCCTCATTTAAAAATATGTATATGTCTATATTAGATTCTTCTGCAAAGAGGCCCAAAGCTGAGCTGATGGGATTCTTACCAGAGAATATTGCCAGGATATTATTAAGGGAAGGGCAGAAGCTGGCACGTTCCTGACTATAAAGTGCAGGATGATGCTCATTTCTGGAAGGCAAATTGACTTGTAAATACAGCTGATGGCAGAAATTCA